CAATTAAAATTTATCCAGTAATTAATAAAAACATTGAAAATATTTTAGCAAAATCATTTAAAATAATTATTAAGAAAACCGATTATTCAAAAATTATTAGTGACCCCATGCTTTGGCCTGAGGGTACTGTCATCAGAGACTGGATTTTTAATCAGTCAGATTCACAAACCAATAAGTCTCAAAACAATAATCTCTTCAAGACGACAGATACAAACCCAAATGTCCTACTAACGAACAAAACACCATCATCTAAGGAAGTTGTTGAACAAATTGTTCAGTCGGAAGACTTGAGTTCAGATCAACAGCTGAATGACATAAGTGAACGTTTCGAAAAGATAGCTATTACAAATAATTAAAATGGCTGTCAAAAACATTAAACTACCTTTAAACTTTTATATTAATCGTTTTATGTACAACATTTTTCGGGACATGAAGGGCGAACTATTTGATAATTTCTAAAGGTCATTCTATCAATGCAGCCGCTTTGATCCAGACGGAATTAAAACGTCTTTGCCTATTGTACACCTGAGTCATAATTTTAGGGTTCTAAGTTTGAATTGTCGTAGCATTTGTAACAAAATAGATCAATTGCAGATGTTAATTGATGAGATCGCATTTCAATTTGATGTTGTTTGTTTGACTGAGACGTGGTTGAACGACAAAAATGATACCATGATTGCTATTAAAAATTACAATTTTATAAATATAAATAGAAAGCAGAAAATCGGTGGAGGTGTTGCATTTTTTGTCAAAAACACGCTAAACTATTTATTAAGAAATGATATTACATTTGAAGATAATTTAATCTATGAATCTGTTTCCATTGAGATTAAGCAAAAAGCAATCAAACATACTCTTTATAAACATTTACAGGCCTCCTTCTTCTAACGTTGCTATTTTTCTAGAGCAATTGGAAACTTTACTAAGCAAAATAAACAATGAAAAAAGAATAATATATTTGACTGGAGATATAAATATTGATCTGTCAATTGATTCATTGTCCAGTCGTCAGTTAGTGAATCTCATGGCCTCTTTCGCTCTATATCCAACTGTAAATGTTCCCACGAGAACAACATCAGCATCCTCCACAATAGTAGATGTTATATTTACTAATTGTTTGGATGGTTTTTGCAGTGGTGTGGTGGTATCTGATATCTCAGATCACTTCCCCTTGTTTATCACTTTCTCTTCCTCAAAAGACGATTGCAACGAAAATAAATTTTCATTTTTCAGCACATGCGCAAGGAATTTAGATAAGTTAAGCGATGCACTGGCTGCTTATGACTGGTCTGATGTGCTTCTAGAAAATGATTGTCAGATGGCGTTCAAAAAATTTCTCAAAATTTTTGATGAACTATTTTGTCGGTCATGTCCATTTACTACTAAAAAACAAAAAAATTTCAAAAATTCATATCAACCATGGATGACAATACAAATTAAAAAACTCATTAGAAAGAAAAACGAGCTATAGAAAAAATTTAAAATAATGAAACATATGAAAATAAAACTAAATGTTGTAAAATTAAAAATGAAGTCAACAAGATTATTCTAGCATCAAAAATGAATTCCTATAATAATATGTTTGGCAGGCCTGATACTAATAGTAAAAATAAATGGAAAGCTATTAACTCGATTATGAATAAAAAGGTTAAATCTCAAAGCTTCACATTATTGAAAGACGAATCCATTGTTAAGGATCCGCTTGAAAATGCCAACATCTTTAATAATTATTTTATTGATTTGTTTAGTAAAAGTTTGCCGACAAACATTAACTTCCATGCTTTTTTGAAAAATGGAGTCTCCTCCTCTATTTACTTAATGCCATCCTGTCTGGCTGAATTATTTAACATTGTTAGATCGTTATCTAACTCTTCTTGTTTAGATCACTATAAATTTTCAAACAAAATCATAAAATATATAAATCATTCTATTTGCCATATATTGTCACATTTGTTTAATTTATCACTTTTCACCGGAATTTTTCCAGATTGTCTTAAGATTACGAGGGTTGTTCCTGTTTATAAGTCTGGGTCACACAATAACGTTAATAATTATAGACCAATTAGTATATTAAGTTGTATCTCAAAGGTGTTGGAAAAGGTTGTCGAGATAAGACTTAAGTCATTTATGAGTGCCAATAATGTTTTAACAAATGATCAATTTGGTTTTCGAAAGAATTGTTCCACTGAAGATGCACTCATAATGCTTTTTAATGAAATTGTTTTTAAATATGATACTGGTCATGTTATTTCGACTGTGTTTTTAGATTTCTTAAAAGCGTTTGATTCCGTTCCACATGATATACTGTTGTTTAAATTGGAACATTACGGAGTCAGAGGACATGCTCTGAAGTGGTTCAGTAGTTACCTCGTAAATAGATTTCAATACGTTTCAATAAACCATTGTAACTCAGATACTCGTCGGGTGGTAAGTGGTGTGCCACAGGGGAGTATTCTAGGTCCAAAATTATTTATCCTGTTCATCAATGATATCGTCAAAACAACCGAAATCTCTAATTTCATTGTTTATGCAGACTACACTACAATGGTCACTACTTCTAGGGATATAAATAATTTGAATGTTTGTACAAATAATTGTTTAGATAAATTGCACACATGGTCTATTTATAATAAAATTAATATAAATATTACAAAAACCAAGTATATGATTTTTAAAAGATTGAACTGTAACGATGAAGAATTTGTTTTAAAGATAGGTGACAGTATAATTGAGAGAGTTGAAGATTTTAAATTATTGGGAATTATAATAGATCAGAAATTAATTTTTAAAAAACATATTGATTTCATCATGCAAAAAATAAATAGAAATTTGGGAATAATGAACAGACTAAAATATATTCTACCAAAAAAAATTTTAATTTTAATGTATCACGCTTTTATATATCCACATCTATACTATGGAAATCTAATATGGGGTAACACTTTCAAGACGTATTTGGAAATTTTATTTAATGTCCAAAAAAAAGTACTAAAAATTATAAATCTTAAAAACGATATAGATAAAAATGATCAATAAACTTAAGATTCTATCGATATTTGAAATAAATTATCTTAAATGCTGTTGTTTTATTTTTCGATTTCTTAATAGTGCTATAAAACCATCAGACAATTACCTACATGATTCATTTAAATATGTAATCAAATCAAGATCACCTAGTTCAAATTTTGAAAAAAATTAAAAGAATCTATTGTTAAAACCAAACTACTCAATAGAAATATAAGTTTTTATGGGGTATAAAAATGGAACAGGCTACCAAATTTTATAAGAACTTGTACTGTTTATCGACCATTTAAATATAAATTAAAAAATTTTCTATTTTGTTTATCTTAATTAATTTTATTTAGTATACAATATTGTTATTTCTTGTTTATACACATTTCTTTGATATTATATTTTGGTTTTATATTTAAAATAATTCTAATTTATTTAATTCATTTTATTTGAATTTCTTTCTTTTCGTGATAAAATTTTTATTTCTAATTGCAACAAGTTTAATTTTATGCATATGTTTTTTAATTCTAAAAGTTTGAACAATGCTAATTAGTTTTTAAAAATTGATACTGACGTTTGACAACATTAATGTGTTTTATTATTTTTTGTGGGGTTCCTTGTTATTTGGAATTTTGGTTTTTTTTGGAATCCTTTTTCATGTGTTTCCATGAAATAAACTTGTTTAAAAAAAAAATCGATAAATCAATGCTTTAAAACTCTTATTCGATCATATCAGTATGCCTACAATAACGCATAAAGTCATCATGTGTTTTCTATGGACTGCATATTTAAAAACGAAATTTTCTGTTAATTCACTAATAACTAGATTAAATTTGAATTTATCTAATAACTAAAAGATAAAATACAAACCCTGTAAAATTTTAATTTAAAGTGTTAAATTTACATAGGACTTTATTTTTAAATGCATCAAAAAACAAAACTCGTACGTACCTTCCAAGGAGATTATATAAGAAAAAGCTTAAAATTTGCTTGTGCTCATAATAAAATACATTACAACAAAAGTATTGATGTATTATTATATTAAGTATTATAAAATGTAAGCATATGTATTCATAAGACTATGTGACATTCATTAAATAAAATTCTTATGATGTAATTTGTAATTTCAAAAAGTTTGATGATGTAATCTGTAATCGGACACATCATTGCAAAGTAATCTGTCATTTGTAATCTCAAGCTAATTTTAAAAGTAATTTGGTGTTGAGGATGTTGATGTATATATATATGGTTGTGATAACACGTGATAACTTTGATGATAAATTTTTTTATTAAAAAAACCGTTCTAATTGACATTATGAGTATTAAATAATAATGAGAAACATTTGCAAAACGTAAACTCTTTAAATTAAAGAGGAATGAATTATTTAGAAATTCTTCTGAAAATATTTTAATTTTTTCATTCATTCATTCATTCATCAATCCATTTATTTTTTCGCTCATTTTTTCATTTATCAATTCATTCATTTGTTTCTTCATTCATTCATTCATTCATTCATTTTATATTTTTGCTCAATTAACATTTTTGAAAAATATTCATATTTTATGCCAGGATTTTTCATACAAATTTACCAAATTTTAGAGTCATTTTTGTTAAATTCAGTCTTAACTTCAACAAAATTACTTATTCCTTGTATTATATTTTCATTTAAGTTGAAATGAATTTGTAGCGAGCAACGAACGCCATCCTTTTAAATAAATAACTTTTCAGTCCAATGAAATCGATAGATAGCCATTAGGTGATTAACAAATTATCCGATTTCTGTTCGTTTTTGTTGATGTTGTTGTGCCTGTCCGCTCGTTTTTTACCAATTTTTTCAAGTGCGTTTGCTTACTTGGGTTCAAGTTTGTTTATATGCGTGTTTTAATTTGGCTGCTTTCATTCATGTGGATACATTTTTGTTGTTATAGTCTAGGTTTTTTGTATTCTCTAAAGTCTGTTATAATTATTTTATTTATTGGTGCTTAGGATGGTAAAGGAAGATTCGAAGAATAAAATATGGAGTAAAAATCCTACATGTAAGTTCGATTAGAACGAAAAGTCGAGTTGGATAATTTAGAAAGGGGCAACTTCCCATGTACAGTTCTTGGTGAAGCTGTTGGTGTAGGTTCTATACTATGCCCACATGTGACACATTAACAGAGCTTTTGCTCAAAATGAGCGCTCTTAAATATTAAATTTCATCTAACTAAATGAAATACATGATGCAATAATTTAGGAGAAACAATCTATTTTCGTAAAAATTAAAACAGGTATATTGAACTCATTAAACATTATTATGTCCAAATATAATCTGATGTAATATAATATAATATCATGTAATTAACTTTTTAATCTAAATATTAACGATGGGGTTTTGCAAATGCTTCTTGTAAATTTGGCGTCATTTTGCATTCGTTAATTTTCAAACCCATTTCTTATATGAAATTTCTACATTCTTATTTATTCAACATAGACGACATCATTTGCTAATCAGTGAAGTGTAGGCCTACGGAGAGTCGTCTCGGTATTTTTGGCCAACTTCAGTGCCTGCAAACTGTTCTTGTGCAAAAAAGATTTAAAAATGTGTCAGAAAATATATGAGTGGAAATTTAAAATAAATGAAATTAAAAAAAATAAACTGGAAAAATTGTATAATCAAAAAAATGTGGCTTTTAAAATTTTGTTAATAAAAAAAATTTATAAAAAAAAATTAAATTAAGTTTATCAAAAGCTGAACTTGAAATGAGATTAAATTTTTATAGATTATGCATATTGTTTGCTGCGTCTATGTTACAGTTTCAACTATAGCAATGATATTGTTTGTATTAATTAGGACAACAAATGAACGTCTTCCACATCATGAACATCATTTCATCGTCATCATCCACAACATTATTTCATCCTCAACAGCAACACCCTCAACGCAACACCCTCAACAGCAACACCCTCAACATCGACATCTTCAACATCATCAACATTATTTCATCCTCAACATTAACATCCTCAACAGCAACACCCTCAACATCAACATCCTCGACATCATCAACATTATTTCATCCTCAACATCAACATCCTCAACATCAACATTCTCAGCATCCTCGACATCATCAACATCGTCAACATTATTTCATCGTCAACATTATTTCATCCTCAACAGCAACATCCTCAACATCAACATCATCAACATTATTTCATCCTCAACATCAACATCCTCAACATCAACATTCTCAGCATCCTCGACATCATCAACATCGTCAACATTATTTCATCGTCAACATTATTTCATCCTCAACAGCAACATCCTCAACATCAACATCATCAACATTATTTCATCCTCAACATCAACATCCTCAACATCAACATCCTCAACATCAACATCCTCAGCATCAACATCCTTAACATCAACATCCTCGACATCATCAACATTCTCAACATCATCAACATCTTCAACATCATCAACATCCTCAACATTATCAACATTTTCAACATCATCAACATCACTTTCGTCATCGACATCAGTGGCAGCAACAGCCATTTATGACACGCATCGCAATTTGAAATAATCCATCACGTGATTCAATGCTGGAGTTCCGTGTGAACGTCGTAGATCGTACATGAGTTGTAAAAGCATTACAATGTTTTGAAATTATATTTTGAAATGTTTACAAACATTTCAACATGGAAATTTTTTAAAGTTGAGGAAATTAGATGTATTAAAAGAAATTAGCGAAAATTAATCACAGTGAGACTAGCAAGTCACGTTGAACATCTGGAGGCTGATGTACTCAACAAAATAGCTCGTTCAAATAGCTTGATGAATAAAAAATAACTTTATTTTTGCTTGCAATATCTTTACAGATTTTTTAAAGGAATTCGCTGACATCTTGAGTTAGAACAAAATGAAATATGAAATAAATTGTATTCTCGAACAAGAACTGCACTGCACAACAAACATCACAATGCAGTCAACCAGGCCTGCATTGCTATAAAGTAGAAAAAGTCTTCTCTTCCATAGAATTGTTCAAACTGAATGAAACAATAACATAACATTCTAACAAATTGTTCCTCTTCTCTCTGACTGATGCAAGAAATTTACTAAGACAAAATTTTTTTTCAACAATAACACGACTGAAATATTACAAATGCTTTTAGTTTCATTTTTTACATTTTGAATATTTTTGAACATCAAAGTGAAAATGATAATGGCTTTATGTGTTATTTCATTGATTAGTAAATAACTGCAAAATGTGTGGTTAAAAATGAAACAAAAATTTGAAGTTTTGAAAAAATTAAAAGTAAAAAAATAAAAATTAAATGCTTAGTAATAATTTGAAGCATAACTTTTATTAAAATCTTTGTGCAAAAAATTCCTAAAAATAAAACACTTGATGTAACAATTTTAAAATAATACATTTCAAAACCATATAAACGTTTAAAAATTAAACTGCAAACGTACATAAAATTAACAACTGATTCTCTCTTATGTTGAATATCAGATAGAACTTGGGGAAAATTCAAGTTTACTTTAGAGTTAGTAGGAGACTCACATCTTACAAAAGAAAAAATTCAGTTCTCCGCAGACACCCATGCTGGTTAAATGTAGATATGGGCTGGCTGGCTGGATGTATCTTCAAGTTAACCTCAGTCACGATGCGTTATTTATGTGTGCAAATATAAATAGACACTTTGAATAGACAAATATACATATATTATATATATATACATGTTATTATATATAATATATTATTTATCTATTTAAAGAGTTTTTAAATGGCATTTATTTTATTTTTTAATTTATCTAATTATTATATGTTTCTTGATTCACTCGAGAAAATGTGTGCATGTTCTTTGGACGCTACAATAAATAATATATCAGTAACACATTCTGCTTATTTAACGATACAGATGGAAATGCGAGCATAGAAACTTCCAAGAAACAGACAAGTGAACAAACAAATTGTGATAAGATCAATTGCTTGGATACAATTGAATGCAGAACTATGCACAGTGACTCGTGTCTCCACAAACATCTCGACTGTGCTTCTGGTTTGTTTTTATGTTCCTCTCATGCAACTCTGTTATCTTTGTATCTTTCTGTGCTTTTCTGTTGTTTTTGGGTCGTACTTGTGTCTTTGTTTTTGTGCCTTCTCGTGTGCGTGTGGTTTTAATATTTTTGTGTACGCTTGCTTATATTTTATTTTCTGTCTTTATTATGCATTAATGTCGTGCTGTATGTTTGAAGACTTATGTATTTGTATGCAAGATTTTTACATTGGTTTTTATTTATGCAAGTTTGTTTCATGCCGGTTCATATTTATGCATTCCTTGTCATGTCTCATCTATCGGGTATGTTTGTTCGTTTGTAGTGGGCGCATTTTTATGAATTCATATATAATTTGCTTCAGTTAAAAGTTTCTTAAAAATCTAAATGCGAATTTTTCAGTTGAGCCAATTAGTTTGATTTCATATCTTGATTTTATGATTTACGTTGGGTTGCTGGATTGGCATGTGATTAGCAGCCGGATTGAAAGACGTTGCATTTTGACTGGCTATTAATATTGTGAGCGTCACTCACTCTCACTGCTCCGATGGACTCTCACAGTTTGAACGTGTCGTGCATCGTCGATAGAAATATTGCAGAAATTATCGAGCTACGTGAATACCAAACACTTAACAATGTTTGAATTTGTTATTTGGAAAATTTGCAGTTTTAAAATGGAATAAAAAATGTTCAATATTATGTTGATAGATTTTACGAACCAACGAAAAGAATTAATCAAACTGAAAACTAGTGGATAAATTCTCGCTATTCAGTTTGTTTGTCACGTTTGGACAAACATTTCAACATTTTATAAATCTTTTACGCGTTTGTGATTATTCATCATTGCACAATACCGCGTTCACGTGCGGTTGAGTCCATTTAGTAAGTTTGTTCTGTAATAAATAATTTAGCGTCAGTTTGTATGCGTTCTTACATGCATGTATACATATGTGCACATTTTTATAAGTTTTTACAAGTTTTTAATTAACAACCAATCTGTGCACGTTGTGATGTTAAAGCATCGTTGCAGATGTACTACGAGCTATATTACTTAGCGATCGTTTACATAACGTAGAAACGTGTTTTGGTGTAGTTGCTTTTATATTTGTCTACATATATATATATATAGACAAATATATAATTTATATATACAGGTCTTTTATATTTGCCGCCAGTTTAAAATTTCTAAATACTTTCATTGGTTCAAGCATATCGAACGTGAGTCGGTTGGCTGGCGTGCTTGCAGAAGCATGTTTATATCTTCAATCGCATGTTGAATGCGGGGATCTGGCTGTGTTCGTCTCGTTCGATGTATCGCTCGTTGATATGCCTTCCGCGGCTTCATCAGCCCGCTAATGCATGTTTAGATTCATTCGCAAATAATTTCAATTTATTTTTAATATCATATACTAATTTTTTTAAATTTTTCTTTCGGTAAATCAATTTATTATGATTAAGTTTTTATTTATTAATTTTTTCTTTGAATTCAATTTAGATTGGTTTTAATTAGTATATTTTTATATTTGTATGCTATTAAGATAATTTTCAATTAAACACGATATATAAGCAGGACTTTGAGTGCTACTTTTAAAAATACACAAATTTATTATTGCGAAATAACTTAATACAGAATTAAATAATGAAATAGAAATTTTAAACATTTATATTTTATCCTTAATAGTTAAAAATAAAAGTACGTTTAAAAATTAAATGAGAAAACATTTTGTAGCATTTTGTTTTGAAAACTGTAAAAAAACTTTTGTTATTTGAATGTTTACTGTTTTTATGATTATTTTCTCAAAAAAATTTGAAGTTGGAAAAATTATTTTTGCTGGGTTTATTTTGAAAGCCTAAAAAGTATTCTTGTTTTCTATTTTCCCTGGCTTAATTCATCGTTTCCTGACATTTTCTGCAATTAATTTACATGTCGCTCAAGTGATCCCCACGTTAAATATTCAGGCAGGATTTTAAACACATCCGTCTATTTTATAGTTTTTTTTAAAGTGATAACTCCAAAGTTCCTACACATTTTACAACGTATTTAAAGTTGTAGGAATTCCTCAACATTGTTTTTACGCACGCAACATATTTCATTTCATTTTTTTTCTTTTTCATGTATTTCAAAACACAGACCAGAATCCCGAAATAATATTCAAAAAAATCACAAATAAAACAATTCCAAAAGTTACTAAAATGATGAAGAAGACAAATAAATTTTCGAAAACATAAAGAACTTAAAATTAATAAATGGAGACGTTGTCAATGTACCAAAAACTACGTGAAATAATTAGCCAGCCGCAATTCAATAACACTCTTCTTATACACTCCCAGACTGATATCAAATGGTATCCACAACTTTACACCGAACTTTAATACAAAATTGGAATGCAACACAATATGCGAAGAAATGAAACGATACACCGGTGTATGACGCCACCACCGAACACCAGCCGATGATAAAGTTACTAAAAAAAATGCGACTAAAGATACATATTTTAATTAATTAACTTATAAAATTTATATATAACACCTATATTTTAGGACATTTTTTAGAAATATATAAGATAAGATCCGCAGTGTCGTCCGCTCTTGAGGGAAGAGCTAACATTCGCTAAATCATCAATGAATAACCAAGTTGTCATTTAACAGTTCTAGAGTTGGCTATTTTCAGCATGTCTGGTCATTGATCTAATTTAAACGAATACCAAAAAAGATTTGTATTTATCAACATATTGAATTTTCTAAATAACAATTTAGATTTTATAATTATTTATCTGTAAAATTAAAGCCTGTATGGTAATAAAATTTAAGTGAAAAGCAGATGTTTTTAATACTTCTGAATTATCTGCAATTTTCTTTTCCAGCATTTACAGCTGTAAGCACAAAACAGATTTTCATAAGTTAGGCATGGATAAAAAAGCAAATAATCAAGAGTAATCATCGATTTAGGTCAAGTTTGTCATGGGATGTCTAGAAGCACCGATCACTCTGCGTAACTCACTGAATATACGCTGACATGCTCAGTCGTGAATGGTGCGATGAAGAATTTATGGAAAATCACTTAAAAAATAACAATGTTGTTTTTTCTCAATGCACTTTTCTGTTTTGAAGATGAAATTTGAAAGCGGCTAACGTTTCGAAGTCAACGCAATCAACAGCACTTAGAATGGTTATACCTTCTAACGGTAGGCATAAATTGGTTAATACAGAAATTTTGCACATGCTCACACTTTTGGAACCACAGTTTAACACAGTTTAACTCAGTGCAATAACGTTTTATTTAATATTCATAATAATAAAGATAAAAATATTGTCTTAAATTTTGCCGATCCAGATGTTAACTTTTTTGACTCTATTGTCAAAAACTCTTCTCTCTTGTTTCCAGAAGATATTGATGGATTCATCAACAAAACTAATTTTTTTTATACATTTTATTAATTTTTAAAGCTTGTATAATAAGATGAGATAAATAAATTCTTTGATTGAAACTTATTAATTTGTGTTGCAGAAACATGGTTTCACGATTATAATGTAAATTTAAATAAGTTATCTGGTTTTCAATTTGTTCATTGTAAATTGTGTTGCTAACGTTGTAGGTGGCATTGAGATATTTTTATAAAACTTTTTAAAATATTATTATTATTCAGTTTATTGGCATTTATCAAAGATTTAAGATGTTTTTGTTGAACAAATATTTTTTACTTTCCTCTGAACAATGAAACAGTTTAATGGAACAATCTCCTTCAATGTTGTTGGAAGATTGTTCCATATTTTTAGCAGAACAACCTGCACACATCTCTCAGTCAGTTTTGTTCTAGTCCTATGAATTAACATCATTTTTGACAAAACCGAACATGTCCCACATCAACTTCAATTCTGAACCATGAACCAACACTGCCATCTTAAATCTTATTCGTTCTCTGATCGCCAACCAATGAAGATTCTTTAACCACTTGGGGTGTGAAAACGTATATTCAGACCAGTGACTAATCTGCCGACATCAATCTGGATTTGTTGAACTTTATTTATCACTCCTGCACCATGCAACGACGAATTGCGGTAGCCCAGTCTTGACAGTAGTACCATAGTCAAAACCAGACTAGTAAAAATATCACTTGGAAAACATTATGTTTCCATGTACTTTTTGTTAAAATTTAGTTTAAAAAAAGAGAAAAGTTAAATCATCAATAAAACAAACTGGATCAGTTCATGATTTTAGTTAAATAAATTTAATTGGCAATAACATGTATCAGTCCAAAAATGATTGTAATAACTTCAAAAGCATATTTATTAATTTAATTTTATTCAATTTTCATCCATTATTTTTCCACAAACTCTTATGACTTCCGCTACATTGCCTACTTTTTGTTTTTTCTTCTCTTTCTGATCACCTTCCTATCTTTAAAACTTTTCTACTTCTAATAAATTTGAATTCATTTGTTAATAATATAAATTATAATATCAATAATATCCGCAAATTATATGATTATTTAATTCTCAATTGGTACCTGATAAACAGTTACATTCCCGGTACATGGGGTGCATTTTGCGCCCCTATTCAATGTTTCTATATAAATCAATTGTAACAAATTTAACTTTTTTTAATATAGTTAGAATACTTTTTCAACTAAAAACATTTATTAAGCATTATAAATGCAATGAAATAACGCACTAAACGAGGTTACGGAGAGACACTCGCATACTCTATAAAGGTATGATTTTAATTCCATTCGAATAAAATTGTCCCAACCTTTCCTAATTAGTGACGCGACAAAACGTTCCCCGAGGTTCGCAATGAATAGGCAAGATGTACAGTACAGCTTCAGATGACTTGCTCCAATCAGAGTAATTGAACATCCTGATCATGAAACAGCAATGACAACTTGTCAAGCATGTTCTAAAACAATACCATCGGCCGTCTAATGATCTTCTCTTTATAAGACTAGATTGAAGCCAAATGATCTGTTATCGACACCACTTTTAGTAAAATTATAAAGAAAGACCATCCCCGGTTTATCAACAGATTTGTCATAATGCATTGCGGACTTACAAAAAAGTTTTACACTTTTTTGGGTACATATAACACCAAAGTTTTGTTCCACAGTTTGTTACAAGCCCATGTATTTTAGACGTTATTTGCTTAGCATCACGTATATTTGTGTATTTTTATTTATTTAATAATTTATTTAATAAAAAGTCTAACTAATGTCGAATATGTACTAACATGCAATATTATAAAAATAAACATCATTTGTTAGCAATATAAATGCAAAATGCACTCAAATTTTGTAAAAATTAACGTTGAGATTTTTTTACAATTTCATGCATGATAAGCATGATAATATGACAAAATGATACCTTTACAATGTTCTAGAGCCTAATAGCTGTAGTTTTGTTAATAACAAAGTAGTAGCCAAAGAGAGTGTCAAGTTTCAGTTGAGTTTAGATTGGGGTTCAGTGTTGAACTGCATTAACACTGATGAAGGAATTTTTTTCTTTTTTATAAACGTTTTAAAATTTTGTTGTTCACTGCTGTCAATTTACTTTAAAAAATTTATAAACGAAAAAAAATTGGATTACCAACGGTTTACATAACTCATCTAAAAAAGAATTTGTTGTACGATAAACTTTTTAAGTCCAAGTTGATGCCCGACAAGTTGGTATGCTAAATATAAAAATATATTTTTAAAACTAAGTCGCACTTTTGAAAATTTGCATTATCATTATTTATTTATAAAACATAAAAAAACTGAAAATGTACGTGGAATGTTTTAAAATCATGAGTAGGTTTAAATTTGAAACGTTCACATTTTGATATTGAAGTTTAGAATAATTACTAATGATTTTCTTTTTTGAACCTGTTTTAATATTCTAGTTTTTCTTGCGTTGGTCATAGTTCTAATTTTGTTTTTAAATCTACAATTTTTGATATTCTTCTTTTTCTTCTTATGGCTTTCGTTCTAAACTTTCTATTGTGTTTGATGTTGATGGTGTAGTTTATGCTATGGAATCTAAAAATTATATGAGTATCAGAAAAGATGGTTGAAGTATTTAAAGGAATAATGGTAATGAACATTAATGCAATAGTAAGAGATTGGTTTAAAGCAGGAAATGAGATCGGCCAGTGATTCATTATCAGCATTACTGTTCTCAACATCATTGAACAGAGCGATAGCAAAATGGAAACATATTTGATGAACAGAATTTATAATGAAAACAACGTTACAAAGGATTTCAGGTTTGCTAACAATGATCATTTTTTAGCATCTCATTACAGTTGGTTTACCAGAGCTGATTGATTTAATACACGAGAACAAACGATAAAAGTTATGGGTTGTTTACTATCAAACCCAACAAGAAGATGTTAACTTGAAAAAAAATTAAAAATAAACAGACTACCAAATTAAAATGAAGAAACTAGATGATGTCGACATAATGGATTACTTCAACGGTTTCATAACTAGCGACAAAAACTGCTCATTGAAATAAAGTGGTGAATCGCTAATGCACAAGTAGTTTGCAAAATTAAAAAAATTCGAACAGGTACTAATACTTCAGTCAAAACAAAATTAAATATAATAGAAATCTGCATGCAAAAATTAAAATTAAGAAACAGAGAAAGATGACAAGTTTTTAAAATGGCGTGCTATAGAAGGTTTATGAAAATCATTGTGTACGGAAAGGAAAAACGTAAGCATAAAAAGTCAGTTTAGGAAACAAAAAACTATATACGGTAATATCCAAATACAAAAATCAAAACTCAGTATATATTTGCTGAGTGTCAAATTATGAATTCATTACATTCGCACTAAAGAAAAACAGAAACTGGAAAAGAAAATTCTGAAAAATTGTCAAAAAATAAATAGATGACATTTCAGAATAGATTTAATTAGAAATATTACATTTAGGAGAACTGTTTAAAGCCAAAAAAAACTGATTTCTTCAGACGAAATGGATGTCATTAACCTCAGCGGTCCTAGAAAAATTTAAAATAACTGTTGATTGACTTCGTTATTTTATGTTTTGAACCTCCAAAAAACTTTAAGAAGTAATTTTGATTATTTTTAAACTTTATCTTTCCAAATTTATTAACTGAACAACACTTTTATTAATAAATTGAATAAGTTATTTTAAAAATTAAACAAAATAATGTTTGCTCAAATAATGGTAACCTCGTATAGTCACATAAATAATATATTCATTGTTACAATTAATTCAAATTCTGGAGATGTGACGTTTTTTCCATTTTTTAAATGTTCATGTTTGTGTAATAATAAGCTTAATTTATTAAACAGGATAACTAAATTTCTTCCAACGCTTAGCACGCATTCATTGCGCTTATGTTTAAACAGTTTCAATTTGACACGCTTTGACTCAGACATGTTCTGCATCTGCACTGACTCAGACATGTTCTGCCTTTGATGGCAAGCAGTTACGCATTGCCTGCTCATCTTCTAGTATTACCTACAATCCACTTTGAAATTGTTGTTTTCTAATTGCATCTCTTAGTTAATGACAAAACGCAACAAACGTTTCAACTGAAAATTAAGTAATATTCTTGAATCTATGATTTAGAATGTTTTTTCGTTTATTTTCTAATAGACAGGTTTAGCTAGTTTAGCTATTCAATAAATTAGCAATTTAAGTTTTAATATAAATTAAGTATTTCTAAATGGGACTGTTTTGCCGCCTACTCAACATAGCAAAAATGTTTTGCATAAAATGGTCAATATAACAGTTAAATAAAAAATAGTGTTGCAAAGATTTTGTGAAATTTATTTTTGTAACAAGTTGTAGCACGTTGTTAAAATGGCACTGACATTTTTTTTTATAATACAATGGTTATTCTCGCCGACACAAATACATCATAATGACAATTTTCTTCATCATTTTCTTCTTCATTATAATATTTTTATTTGATCATCATTTGATAATCATATCATCATTTTTTTGTCATTTCATCATTATTCGTTCATAACCGCAGGAAATATGTACAGAATAACTTTGGAGCCGATATATAATTTGGATAAGAACAGGACTGAAGTGAGATGTCACCTGAGGAGGAAACCACCGCAAGTCGTCTACCAAGTACGATTACTTACAACACAGTTTTCTTATGAAATATTATTTTGGAGTATTTTCAATTTTTAAATCTAAATTTTTCTAAATTATTTATGCTAAATTTTTTATTTATAACTAATTTTTATTACAACTGTTGAATTTTTAAAAATAAGTAAATCAATAAAGAACTAATATTCTACTGTTGTCATAAAATTAACTAAAAATGTAATAAATAATAATTAAATGTTTTTATAATTTGACAAAGGTTTGGTTCTATGTAACTGTAAATTTTACTAACCTGAATGAACGGTTTGAGACTGAAAGAGTCAGCTACAAACAGGAAGAACCACAACCAACATTTGCAAAAAGTGATCCACCTCATGCGTCAAAATTTGATAACAACAAATATGATCCGAATATAAATCAGCAACCAATAAACAACGTGGCACATAAAGACATAAAACTCAGCAGAAAGGTTATAAATCATTTTGAATTCCTGCAAGTACAACATGATTGGGGATTGGACGGAGCATACGGTGACGTCGTACTCGTTGCTGATCTTGACCTCAGCAACCTTGCCAGCAGAAGTAGAAATGACCAGACAAATAACTTTAAGGTGCTCACCTTGAAAAATTTCATGAAAATGCAACAACAAAAATTTTTACATAAAAGACATAGCTATAAAAAGAACAATGACGAAGCCTACCTCGAAATCAACAAAAACGATCGTTCAAACTACAAGGACAAAAAGGATAATTCATTTTCAAGAGAGGATCGCACCATCGGAAACAACTCCACCAACGGTGGAAATGTGAGAATAAGAAAAGAGAAAAGTGATCGAAACGGATTTTCCAGCAGCAAGCAGCTGGCCGACAACGTGTACATTGCTGAGAACATTCACTTCAAGCAACCCTTCGCGTACAACACGCACAGCTGGGGACGGAGTGGTTGCCAGAAAAATAAAAAACATTTTGTTGGCTACGAAGAAAATGATGATGATGATGCCAGGGGTGATGAAGGTGATGTTGAGAAGGATGATGAGGAGAACGTAAATAGTGCAGCAGCTGAAGATGTACGTGACGACGATGATGATGATGATGATAATGACAAAAATGAAGGAATGAGTAGTGAACGGGTGAGTGTCTTGATTGATAGATCGTTTGATGGGATGGAGTACCTCTTCAAGTCGTTGCGTCATCCTCCCCACCTACGATTGTCCATTGCAGGTGAGTGATGATGATGATGATGATGATGACGATGATGATAACGAGGATGATGTGGTGATACTGTGGAGGATTGAAAAGACAATGCTAATGACAACTGTGTTGATGATAATAATGATGACGATCATGTCACTAATGATGATGATGATGACGATGATGAAGTCAACGCCGATATATACATGGTTAGTGACAGTGATGCTGGATGCTGATTTAAATTAAGACAACGTTAAAAAAGAAAGAGATGCAGCGGCGATGAAGTGAGGCTGAATATGGAAGACAATTTCAAAATGATGACATTAAAGGATTCTGTTAAACAGATGAAAAAGTTGAAAAGGTAGAATATGATCACGTGATGACCATAGAATAATGACCAAAATGATGGCCACAGTGATGACCATGGAATGACGACCATAGATTGATGACAATAGAGTGATGACCATAGAATAACTGCACTGATGACGTTACAATGGTGACAGTATGGAAAATTTTATAGAAACTTCTAAATGAGATTTAAGAATAATTCATTTATAATGCTAATGTTATACAAATAACTGTTCTGTTCATGTGCTTTCCCTACGTCTGTTGCTGCTGTAATGATCACGTTGTTGAGCTTCTTAAATTGAGTTGTTGTTGTGTTTGTTGATGTTTTGGTTGTTGTGGTTGTTGATGTTGTGGTTGTCGCTGATGTTGTGGTTGTTGTTGTTGTGTTTGTTGTTGTGGTTGTTGTTGTTTTCAGATTTTGTTAATATTATTTAATGTTGTTGTTGTGGACATTGTTAATGAAAGTTAATTTTATTTAAATGCTTAAATTTGTTGTTGATGTGTGAAGTTGTATGTTCGATTTGCACTGAACATCTCCCAAACAATCTCACTGCACGTTTGCAGCCCCGCATAGCTGACCAGTGGCCAACAACATCCTTCATAACTGGAAGTTTTTAAGCTGTCGGTAAACACGTTATAAAAACGAAGGACAGACTGGCAATATTTTCAGTGCAATAATTAAAGAACCTCATTCATCATGGTTTTTCACGTTTCCTGCCTTCTTTTACTTTGATGGGATGATATCATGTTGTTGTTGTTGATACTGATGATGACGATGAAATTATGATGAGGAGGGGGAAGAGGAAAAAATTTAATTTATTTCTCTTCATTTCTAATTATAACTGCTTTCTAGCGCAACTTACCAGTTACAAGAGCAAAATTACGGAGAAGATGATAGTGCAATTTTTATGTGTTGTATGAAATGTTCGGTGTTGTTGTCTTTTGGATGAAATGGTTGATAGTTGTGGTGGTGCTGGACTGCATCTTCAGATTTACGAGCTCCATCGCCGAGTTTGTTTACTTATTTGCAGGAGCACTCACACATAACACACCACACAATAATGACGTCATATTTATGCGTCAGGGTGAGCATATTTTTGCTAGCTTCCATTATTAATAAATGCTGTTTATTGCCGTTGTTATGATTATTAAATATTATTATAATTCCAACGGTAGCCTGTGTTTATTTCGCATCATTATTTTCTGAAATTGTTCACTGGATGTTGTTTATATTTCTGTCCTATTTATTGCTCTCTTGATGTCTATCGGACTTTTTGTTTTTTTTTAAATTGTTTCGAAAATGAGAACAACCTCATTGGTTGATATTAAAAACGCAGGATCGAAATCAGTGCTGCGGTGGTGGTTCGCGAAGCAGAACGTCACGCTGCTCGGAGACTCTTCACCCCCCATCCAACTCACCGTCGACCCCATCAACCACCCCCACTACGAACACCAGCATGACGAAGGGAAGGAGCAGGATGATGATAAGAAGAAGGAAGGTGGAAGTGTCGGTGATGAAACATTCAACCATGACGGCAACGAGGACCATGCGTTTCTCCAAAATGGTGATGATGATGAGGATGATAATGATCTCGGGAAGAAAAGTCATCTTTCTTACAATTTCACTGTATCAGGTAGTAATTGAATTAATTGTTTTTAATGCAATTTATTTATACACTTAAGACGCAAATAAGACAACTGGACGATTAAGATGGATTCAAGTGTTGCACGCACGTGACAGCTGGAACTGTTGCATCTTTTTGAACAACTTCACGATAAAGAATACACAATTTACGGTTATCAACGATGAAAGTTGATCAGGTTTGAATACACAACAAGCGTATGCAGACATTTTTAAAAAGATGCGTGCTCAGCTGGAAATTATCAGGAGACGTCACCAAAACCAGCAATCAAAGATGAAAATATAACTGCTGGCAGAAGTTATAACGGCATCAACTTTAATTAATTTGTGAGCTTCTAATCTATTGAGAGACAAGTATTTTGATGCTGAAAATTTCAATTGCAATTCAATTTCAATTTTCTCTGCGGGAAACCATTTTATGCACTTAACACATAAACGTTGCTGAGTTTTGATTAAAAATTGTTTCAATCTTTTTAATGTTAACAATAAATGTAACAACAACATTATCAATAACAACAACAGTGTCAACAACATTAACTCTATCAACAACAACAAAAAGCAGTTACAAAAGTATCAACAACAACACTCTCGACAACAACAGACTGCAATGAAACAACTTACATCTGTTGTAAAATAAAATTAAGTTTATGGAATTTCTGCTTGATTCTAACATTCATTTTTAATTTAATTGAATAATTTCCCATATTTCAAATTTTTATTTATTTTGCTTTTTATCCAAAATGGTCAGTTCCAACTTTTTCTCATACCTTATTTTATAAGAATTTTTAAAAAACAACATATAAAGAATCATTGTATCGGTATTATTGCATGGATAGCATATGAAGACAATGCCAATGTATCCATTATCAACGTACGAACGTACACAACACAATTGCATGAAATAGCGATGTATACAATGCCAGTGTACACAATGGCCGTGTATAGATTAATAAGGTGAAGAAAGAACGAACCATGAGAAGCAATCTTTTGAATGAATGTTGCTAATGAAATTCTTCTCACCGCCGGCCTCAAACATACATGCAAGCTTCCTTCTCAGGCTCTAATGCAATGATCACTACCTTTATTAATCTACGTGATAAGAGCAATGATGATAAAGATGATGATGACGATGACGACGACAGTGATGATAACTATTACAAGGAGGATCTTGATCTCGCTGAGAATATAAAGATAGGGTAAGGATGATTGCAGTGGTGAGGCCCTCATAACAAAGGTAATGACGATAATGACGGCGTTCGTCATCGTTCTGATCATCGTGGGCTCATTCATCATCGTAAAGATGAGTTCATATTTTAAAATTCTTATCTTTCTCGTGTCTCCCAACGGCGTAACATCGTCATCATCACCACCATTGTCGTCGTCATCATCATCATCGTCGTCGTCGTCAGCATCATCATCCATCGTAAAATTTATCAGCATCAACTTTGTAGCCATTATTTCCACGGAAACCTTCTCTTCGCAATGTTATATATGTCTGTGATAGGCAATTTCGTCATTCAAGTTAATTACTTTTTGAAAGTTCTCTGAAACTTCATCACTTGTCCTTATATGACCACGCAGTTGTCTCCTTACATCACATCAACATCGCTGGCTACCTCATACAACCACATAGTGGTCCTATATATTCACGTAGTTGTTCTTATATAATCAGAACACACAAAAATTCTGCCGCTAGCTTAGTTTTACGGATAACTTATTTTGTTCATTCTTCTTAACCATTTTTTTACTAAGCCGTACACTAAGATATTAATTGGTACTGCCACTGTCATGGTCAGCGAGATCGTAATCACGTGACCACTAACCAACATGACATCATCAACCCTCACAACTATCATCATTTCCATCACCCCGCCATTTTCTTCATAGCAATGAAAAATGATCACTATTGAATCTGCAGGTCAGCTGTCGGCATGTCCTGGCTACCTGAACCTCCTCATAAAGCACGCCTGCACGGGTCACGTCCTCACTCACCTCGACACCATCCTCACCTGCCCTCCAACTTTCAACATCGTTGTACTTTTGGAAGCCAGTCCGTCGCAAGCAAAGTCCCACAACGATCAGCAGAAAAACGACAGTGGGAGCAGCAACCAGGACCATCCGAGTCGAGCTTCCCACAGCAACAACAAATATTCTAAAACTAACGATCGTAAAGATTGTTGCAAACGGGCTGATGCGGAAGAGTTGGTCAGCAAGTTTGTCATCATTCTAGATGACTCCAAAAGTGCAATTGTGTATTTCGTGTTCAATCGCATCGTAGCAACTAATGCTTCCTTGCACTATGAGACTGACATCATCAAGGTGGGCAGTTACGATCCTTCCGATCCAGCCCAGGCCAACCACACTGCCGATGTCGCTGACGATTATTGCAAACATTATGGGGTCAATCATTTCATTGGCGAGGTCGTCAAAACGGAATTTAAAAATAAAAATGCGCAGTCACTGTTCGTTGATGGTCGGCGATCTAAAAGAAGCGAAAGTGAAACGTTTCTATTAGTTTGCATCGTCGTTTGTGCAGTTGGCCTGTACATTTGCTTGAAACTGGTCAACAATGTGAAGTTTGCAAGCGGTGCTGATAGCAAGAAAACAGAATTCGTTTCGATATTTGAGTATAAGAATGATGAGTCGAGATTGGAAGGGGATGTCATTCCCAACGTAAGCCACTGCCTGCCACATGATTGTTCACGGAATTCAAAATATCATTCACCATCATCGCAACAATTTGAACCAATGCCAGAACAAACTTTCCGTCAACAATCACATTTTCAAATTGAGCAAAATAATGATCTCCATATGAAAAAACAACTACAACACGAACAACAACAACAGCAACAACAACCACATCGTCATCAACAACAACAACCACATCGTCATCAACAACAACAACAACATGAACAACAACAACAACATCATCAACAACATCATCATCAACAACATCATCATCATCAACAACAACACCAACTTCTACAATATCAACAACAACATCAACAACCTCATTACCAACAACATCACAACAATCACGACCAACGCTTTTGTACACAACAGCAAGCTGTTGACGACAACACTTTTAATAATTACTCCCTCTACCTTGTCAACACCAATCAAACATTTAGACAAAATCACAGTAAAATACACAATATGTTCTGGAAAGACGCGGTCAACACCTCCATCTACAACTGCATTTCAGTTCCGAGTAACAACTATAAAAATATCCACAACAAAAGGAAAAGTGAGAATATTACAAAAAATATGAAGTCAATGCAGCGCACATCTTTTCAGAAGAGCTTCCTCGTCGTTTACGTATGCTTCAACATCGTGAAAGCTCTCTGCTTCACAATGTCTGCTCTCGTGTCCATCTTTTATTTGTGCACAGTAGTTAGCGATCATGAGTCAACAATGTCGGCCACATCTGCGACGATGAAGAAACCTCCCTCCCTTGCAGCAGCTGTCAGCTTCCTTGCTAGCGATGGCTCGCTTGATACCAATAAGAGTCTACATCGCTTTCGGAATGATGACAATAAAAGAAGTGTTGACGGCAAATTTATCATTGTTTCCGAGAAAAAAATGAAAAAAATTAATTTCAGTGTGTTGCATCGACACAGCAGTAATAATTATGAAAGTAGCTTAAGTGAAGTTAAAAAGAATTTTTTTAATTTGAACTGTTTGAATTTGGCAAGAAAAAAATCGTTAAATGTTTATTTCAAGTTATTAATGAAATTATTTCCGAAAGAATGCAGCAGCAGTTTTACTCTTCGTGGTGTCCTTAACAGATTGTCAGAAAAAATGACAGTCATCGAACGGAAGATGAAGTATTTTGTTCTGCGAGAAGTTAATTACATCAAGCAGAATGTCTGCCGCTCAAAAAGTATTAGATCACTTTTCTTAGATAACGTCAAAGAACTTTTTATTCAACCAGCCTTCCTTATTAGTGATCGCCAACATAATAAGCGCCACTTCTTTAAACAACTGGAACGGAATAAGCAGAATCAACAACTCCAACAACAACAACAACAACATAAACAACAATTTTCTTATCAGTATCAGCATCTACAATATGAAAGCACCACCCTCAGAAATAACATTCTTCTGCAAAAAAGTAACAACGGAAGTATTGATGAAGATGATGATGTTGATAATGTAAACAAAAAAGACGATGATAATGATAATGATGATGAAAAAAAAAATTATGTTGGGGGAATACTTCATTGGCCTGATGTTGATGAGGCAGTGATGTCGCTGGATCGATTGATTTGTCTTAAAATTCAAAAGTTAGTTAACGGCAAAAACGTTAAAATTTGGTTATATCTAATTATAACAGTTGCAAAATGTTTTAGCATCATTGAAAACTTATGTTGAGCAAAACATAATTTTTATAAAATTTTCAATCAATCGTGTTTTTTAATAATTTTGCTTTTATTATCATTTTGAAGTAAATATTTGTCATAGTTGCAAAAGCTTCATTAGAAAATGATCGTTATCATAAAATTTCAATAGCAAAATAATTTTAAATATTTAACTTCCAACAGATTAATGTTCGGACTCCATTCCGTGGCTTCGGTTTTCACACGGAGACCGTTGCATGATGGAGCGGGCGACGAGCGACCGGCGGAAACATTAATTAGAAGTACATTGAATTCTGTCGCCAGCAACAAAGCAACAACAACCGACACATCGACCGGAACAGAACGAATGATTAAAACATCAACAAATAATAATAACAAACAGAACGTGAATACAGAATGTCGCCGTACAAAATGGTTTTGCGATGAAAATTTACTACTCGCTGGCATGCTGTGCCCACCTGAATTTTTCTCTCTGTTGCTAAGCACTTCTTATAAATTCAAACATGTTCCCAGCGCCTTTCTTGATAACAGTGCTCGTCAATTAGGCACGAATATTCATAAAAATTATTTACATAATGGAATGCTGACAACATTTCGTCAGAACTACAGCAGCAAGGATGCACGTGATCTTGATAATGATGATGACAATGGTGGTGATGAAGAAAATGATGGTCATGATGATGAAGATGATGATTATTATGTTGGTGATGGACATCTTTGTAGGGATGATGTAGAAGATGACGTTGTTGTTGATGACAAAAATCATCGCGACATCAGTCATGATGACGTTGATGACAATGTCATCGAAAATCATTCTATCGAAACTAGTTTTAATGAACAAGACAGGAAACAATTTTTGAAAAAAAAATTCAAAAAATATAGTGAACACAACGCAGACAACTTCAACACTTACAAATCTAATAAAATCAATAACTCTTTCCACGCTTCCAACTGTCAGACGCCGTTCAATGAAATTTTCGAGAAAAGAACGATAATTTGGTTTGCTGTTTTATTCACCACGCTTGACTTCTTAGTTTTATTTTACAATCTGCACAAAGTCTACAGGACCGTAACCAATTTGATTCGATGCAAGGCCAAAAGAGAACAAAAATTTTACGTTGAGACTAATCAAATTTCCACCAACACATCATCCGGCGCAATTTACAGCAATTGGAGTTTAGTGGAAAACGTAGTGCCGTCTCTCTGCGTGCCTCGCCCCAGCGAAACCTGCACAGATTATCCCTTTACTGAGGACAGTTTCAACCAAAAAAATGACATCGGGCACAATTTAATCTCCAATTGGTCGGATGATGCTGGAACTTCTTCACACTTTCCAAAGTTGTCTCTTATATCCTCTTCCTCGTCGCTGCCAACATTGCACGAGCCGACAATCCAACATTCAACCTTGCAACAATCGCCATCATGTTTACAACGTTTTAGTAAACAAATCGCCCAACATAATGAAAAGAACTTGCATGTTTGCAACCATGTTGATGAAAACAATTTTATGCTGCTACATTCGAATTTCAAATTGTTTTGTTTACAAGAAAAAACTTACAAAAAGTTCATTGAGTACAAGCCTCATTTCTACCCCAGTTCCACATTTACTTTCACTGACGTATACAACAATCAAATATCCTGCAAAAACATCAACAGCAATAAATATAACGTTGATATTAATAACAGAGCGCAAAATATTGACGGTGATAACAAAGTTCAAAAAGATCCCATGATAACAAACTCGCAGAAAGGTTTTTCGCCACCCCCACACCAACAACTACTACTGTGCCATCATGCACTTCAACATGAACAATCACTCTCGCGAACACCGCTCCAACCACTACAAGCGCCTCAAAAAGAACAACAGCATGAACAAACATGTAAAGCACAAGCAACACAACTAGATAAATGCCATCTGCAACAACATCCATTCTATTTTGTGAGGCAACGAAACAACCGGCATACGAGGAAGGAGCGTAAGAAGAGATGCGTGTACTACACGATTTTAATTTTGCATGCTTTCTTCGATATTGCAATGCTGACTTGCAGGTTTAGGAACCTTCTCGTCGCATTGTGTCTGCTCTTGTTAGTCTGGGTGTTGTACGACAGCATGAGAGTGTTTGTGGCGGAGTCCAGCCTGAAGAAGTTATTAACGCCGTGCACGCCCACAACGAGCAGGCTGGCTGCTGCTGGCGACCACGTTTTCAAATCAACTACTTCCGACTCATTCGACACAATGGTTAATGAAATTAAACGGAGGCTGGTACGAGACGATTGTGATGATGACGATGTTCAAACAGATGATGATGATGTTGATATTGGGGGTGAAGACGACGATGATGAAAATGCTATTGGTGGTGAAGGTAATGATAATAATAACCACGGTGAAAGTTGTAGCAACAATTTAATTCATGGTGCCGATTATTTTCACTTGAAAAAAGTTTGCTACAAAAACAAGAAATGCTTGAACGCGATCAACAAATTTCTATTTCTCCCAAATGAAGGTAAAATTAAAATTGATGGATTTCATTTGTTATATGTTTTATGTTATTTCATGTTTCGTCTGTGTTTAATTATATTTCTCCTTTTTTCACGTGTTTATTTGATGTGATAAAAATAATAAGCCTTGATAATAACGATTAAAAGTTTCAATCATAAATTCTGACATGTTTAACAAATGTGATATAAGTAATAAGATTTTCACGATTTAAAATTTCATAATTTGTGAGCTGATGTGTATTCTCATGCAATCATTTAGAAATATTACTTTTTTTACTTGTCCATTGCCACTTATGCAGTTTGATCTCTTTTATTTAATTATTGGCTTCTCACGACGTAAGAGGAATGAAAAATAATGGAAATTTATTCATTTGCTCCGTGCGTTTCTTGGTAACTAGCTTGGAGTGCACACGTTAGAATATCATATAATAATGAACCGTGACCTGAATGCAGAAAGGTGCAAAGACTTTTGAAGAGGTCAGTAATGGAATGCCGCAATAATTTCATATGCACCAGATGTCTATCGCTCTCTGGGATGAAATATTTTTTAAAATGAGATAAACGAATTGCTTTCCCTTGCAAAGTGCTCTAAATGTTTTATTGTTGTTTATTTATCAATTTTCAGGAAAGTGTTTGAAGCAGCAGTTAATAAGTTCAAAAATAAGTCCAGCAATGGTGGTGAAGTAAATAATAAGATTATGCTGAATTCTGAGTAAAAGGTTGTTTAACTTATAAGCTGGGAATTGTTTCAAAATAATCATCATCAATTCAGTTGGAAAGTAGTAAAATAGAAAAAGGTCCTTCATCCGTGTTAATATATATATGTTATGTATGTATGTGTGTGTATGCTGGAAGGAGACCATGTTTTATACAATGTTGTATAAATTTTACCGAATTGTTAGCATTAATCAATTTAAAGTTTGTTGTTTCAATTTTTTCTTGTTAAAATTTCCTGGAAATTGTTCAATTTATTGAAAATAGATATTGAAAATAGAAATATCATTCAAGTTCATCATACAAATTTAATAAAACTGTTGTTATCCAAATTCATCATGCAGATAGGCCTTATTTCGATTTTTCACAAATCATCTTCACTGCAGCTCTCAACAACCATAACACGATATAATGAATTTCAATATCGAGCTTGAAAGTGAAAATTCATTGCTATTTCAGGATGTTTTGGTAACGCATGACGATCAATGATTTACGATGCTGTATACTCAATGCAACAAATAACAAATAATGCTTAAATGGGTTAAGCGAATGCGCGGAACAACTCAAAAGAAGTACAATAAAATTCTTTTGTTAACCGTGCATTCACGCATTCCTCCTCAACTGAGGATCGCAATACGGAACTGAAAAGAATTATTAATCTACTAGTATGCAATGATTGCAAAACATCATCCATTGAGGACACCAATCAACAAAAACTACAGCGAAATAGCAATATATTCAAAAACAACAATGACAACGACATAATCATATATTACAGAAATCATATGTCAACGGCACATAAAATTGACGAAATCGTCCTCAAAAAAATCATGAAAAGAAACGTGACACCAATCAAAAAATACTAATAAAATAAAACTCAGTATATACTACAATAATTGTAATAATAATGTCATTTTATATAGCGCCATGGCAAGCGACTGAGGCGCATTATCATCATTACAACAAACACACGGTGCATAAATGCACGTGAATCAATGCATCACACACTTTTGCATGTGATAGGCGGGGATCTTTTTTGCATTCGAACCCGGACACTGCATCAACTACGCCAGGCACCTTAGCCATTACACCATCGCGCCGCCCATGTAAGACATCACATTTGGTCTTTAAGAACAACTGCACTCCTAAAGACGATTATACTTTGAGGCGTTATCATGTAATATATGAATTTAAATGCCCTATTGACGACTGTGCGGGTCAACGACCACTTCATTACCAAGACGTTTCACAATGCATACACAAATTCACAATGCATGCATCAAATCAACACATGCAGCTCCAATAGCCCGCCTAATTCCTGACAACAACACAAAAATAATTTATCAAAACACCAACACGATACATCTAAAAATTGTAGAAGCTGTCTTAATAGATATCAATACACCTAAAAAAATCCAACAAAGAATGATTACATCATTACCAACTCCACGCCTTATTACTAACTTTAATAAAAATAAATCGAAGTGCTGGAGATGTTTGAAAAATCGAAATAGGTTCTATACACTCGAGAATGAATAGGAAAACTGTATATTATTCTAACTTTAATAAAATAATTAATGACGAAAAGGATTTGGTTATAAATATTGAGAAATGTAATAAAAACTATCCAACACTAAAAATTCGGTAGATTTTATGTAATTTATTTATGTTGGTAGTACTGAAATATAAATATGTATGTACAGTACATATATATTTGTATGTTAGTTTATATATATATATATATATATATATGTATTATATATGTGTATGTGTATATATGGTTATAATAATAACCATATATACAGATAGATACACTTCACACATATGTATGTATGTATCAACATTGATGTATGTATGTATGTATGTATGTATGTATGTATGTATGAATGTATGTATGTATGTATATATGTATGTATGTATGTATGTTTGTTTGTATGTATGTAGGTATAATGGCGAGGTCGCTTGTAAACAACGAGCTCTTGTATTTTATTGAAAATAATTGGAATTTGGTTGAAAATGACTCATTCATTAATAATATTGTTAAGTTCTACAGTCATGAGGACATTGTTAATGCAATAAAAGCGTTGAAAATTGAAATGAATAATTTAAAAATTGACAAAATTGATAAACTATCTTTGCACGGGAATATGAAAATTGATAAAATGCTCGAATGCATTTCTGTTGTAAAATTTTTGAAAGATAACAAATACTGGCACAAATGTTTGGTTTTTGTAAGTTCCAACTTGAACAAAATTCCCAGGGTTGAAAATTTGCTGAAATTCAGCTTTAAAGCCATTAAACGTGAATTAATGGAAATATTACATAAACAACAAACAGGTAGTTATTTCAACAACGCACGATTCACGCACTGCACAACTAACAGCTGTAAAAAGTAAATTAAACTCATTGGCAAAACTACGGTACACAAATGTTTCAAACAAAGACTAATACACAAGTTTTGTAAATGTTAAAAATGCAAGTAGTATAAATAATTTAAACAAAAAATAAACTCAGATGTAACTACTATGAACACTGTAAATAGCACGCTAACCCACAGCGAGCAACATCTACCTGGAATTTTGTGGTCGGAAGTCGTGTCGTCACCCATTGAAGATGAACAGTTCACGCTGGTGAAGCGTCACAGCAAACAACCTCGTTTGAATGTTTCGTTGGAGGGAGTGAACAACGGCGAACCTTCTTCCGTCAACGTCATCGAAAACTACGCAGTCGTCAACTCAGTCAAAAAAACAACAACAAAAGTAATCGGCAAAAAAGTCATTGATAATTGCAAATTAATGGCCAGACAAAAATTTAGTCAAAAAATCTGATTTTTAATGTAAGTAAATGTCATCGGAGAGATGTTGTTGAATTCTTGACATCCGTCGGAATTAACGTCATAAGTTATAAAATTTGGACACAGATGAGCAAGAATCAACGATGTTTAGAGTCTGCATCGACAGTTCAAATGCAGCGGTGATGAAGGATCCTGAAATAATGCCAAAAATATTATTGTTCGTGAATGGCGCTTCAATCAGAAGAAACCTGATGAGGTCAATGCCCAAAATGGTTAGCGCAATTTTTGATTATCAACTTGATAACAATGAAGAACATCTGTCACAAAATTCCACTATGTTTGATGATGCGAAATCTGTGAACGCTACATATCATTCTATTATTTCTGATAAGATAAATGTCTGCCCAATGTTAAAAGTCATGCATTTAAATATAAGAAATCTTATAAACAAAATCGATGAACTGCATGACTTTTTATCAAACTTTTCTTTTAAATTTGATGTCGTTGCAATGTCGGAGACCTGGTTAAATGACGAGAGTAGTATTGAAATTGATGAGTACCAATTTGTTGGAAGAAATCGCTGCGGTAAGCGTGGAGGAGGTGTTGGTTTTTATGTAGAGACTGGATGTTTGTTCAAGATTAGAAAAGATCTAAATGCTATTGGTTGCAAAAAGTTTGAAATGTTTTCAATTGAAATAATTAGAAAAAACAAAAATTCGATTTTGATAGTTTCCTATCGACCTCCTTTTCAAAATCCAAATTATTATCTCGACCAATTAGAACAGGTGTTACATGCAGCAAGTAAAGAAAATAAATTTATCTGTTTATTGGGAGACTTTAACATCAACTTATCTTCCGCAAACGAAGACAGTAATAGAACAAATTTGTTAAATCTCGCATCAAGTTACAATTTGTCTCCACTCATCACAATTCCAACAAGAACCAGCATCAACAAGCAATCAGTAATAGACAACATTTTTGTGAATCGTCTAAAACCATTAAAACTAAGTGGCGTATTGTTATGCGACCTATCTGATCATTTTCCGATCTTCGCATTATTCGAAGAGGCAGATAAAAGTAATGGTGTAAATGGTTCAACAAAAATGAAGTTTTCATTTTTAGCAGATCGCCTGCATAGATTGAATGAGTGCTTGCAATCTTTAGACTGGTGTCAAGTACTTGAATGTTTTGATACAGATATGGGCTTCGAGCTATTAATCAAAAATTTCGAACTTGTTTTTATGATGTCTGCGTTTTAAATTCACATAATAAAAAAATGAAACTGGCGAAAACAAAACCATGGTTCACTGGAGAAATTAAAAAATTAATAAAAAAAAAATTGCTAATCAAAACTTATTTGAAAAATCCATCGCCAGAAAAATTGTCAAAGTTTAAAACGTTAAGTCAGTTTTGTACGAAAATAGAAAACAAATTGAAGCGCAAATATTACATGGATCAAATCGAGCAAAATAATAATAATAGTGAAAAAACTTGGTCAATAATAAAGGAAATTTGAAAAATATCTACCAGTCATAAATCTAAATCTCAGTTAACTTCAAACGAACAGATTATTGAAAACCCTGCAAATTTTTGAATGAATATTTTGTCAACATAGCTCCAAATTTGCTCAATTCATTTTAAACAGACAAACAATGGAAAACTTTTCTTCGCGACAAAACATCAAATTCATTTTTTGTCTCTGCAGATGAGATAATTTCCACAAACAAATTGCTGATACCAAAGTCGTCTAGCGGTTGGGATGATAATCCAACAAAAAATGTAACATCAACAATTCCCTCCACCGCGCAGGTCCTTGAACACATCATCAACCTTTCCTTCACAACCGGTGTTTTTCCAAAGCGCCTCAAAATATCCAAAATCATACCAATACAAATACAGAAAGTTACTGGTAATAATGATGTTTCTCACTTTCGACCAATTTCACTTGTGCCAGCATTTTCAAAAGTATTTGAAAAAATTATGCACGGGAGAATAATTTCGTTTTTACAAAAAAATAATATTATTTCAAATTACCAGTTTGGGTTTCGAGACAAACATTCAACAGAACTGGCCATCATCAAACTGATAAGAAAAATTGGTAATGTAGCGGAGAAAAAACATTTCATTGTAGGGTTAGCCTCGATCTGTCGAAGGCATTTGACTGTATCGATCACGACATCCTGCTAAGCAAGCTTGAGCACTACGGTATAAGAGGTATCACATTGAAATGGTTCAGGAGTTATCTGTCTGGAAGAAATCAGTTTGTTTGTTGGTTAAATGAAAATTCAACATTACGACACAATGGTGTCGGGGTTTCTCAAGGAAGCATCTTAGGACCACTGCTATTCATCATCTTCATCAACGATCTACCAGATGCAACCGACTACTTCGACTACGTTTGCTTTGCTGACGACACCAACATTTTCGGAAGCGGGATTAACATTGATGATGTTATCGATCGAACCAACGCTGAAATAAAACACGTTGTCAAATGGTTCAACTCCAATAAACTGACTATAAACATTTCAAAAACGCAATTGATTGTCTTCGAACCAGTGCAATATTTAAATTATAAAGAACCGTATAAAATCACAATCAACAACCAAAAAATAATCGAGAGTAAAACAATAAAATTTTTAGGAGTTTTATTAGATCAGAAACTAACTTTCAAACCCCATGTCAATTACGTTTCAAACAAATTAGCGAAATCTATCGGAATAATGAACAGAATAAAATTTTACTTTCCGAAAAAATTCTTGAACATGATCTATAACGCCATTTGTCTGCCTCACGTGACGTACAGCAATGTTGTTTGGGCCAGTGCGTATCAAACGACCACCAACCCCGTCAAGATGCTGATGAAGAAGGCAATGAGGGTCATTACGTTATCCAGGAAGCAAACGCCACCAACAATTTAAACTTTGACAAATTAAATCTTTATTTTGTGGTAAATTTTGGTTTCAAGCAACTTACAAATAGGCTCCCATCAATTTTTAATAATTATTTCATCTTTAATAAAAGTTCTAGACAAGTTAAGTACTTATTATCAAATAAATCAAAGACAAATATTCTGTATTCGCATCTTGTATGTAAGGGTCCTAGAGTGTGGAATCAAATTTTGAAAGATGGTTTTTGTTATGAAAATTTGTCTGCAATCTTTAAAAAAAAATTAAAACTGTTTTTGTTGTTGAATCACCAATGACCAACCGTAAATCAATATAGATATGGAGATCTATTTTTCATTTTTTATTTGCGCCTTGATTGCCATTGTTTAGTTCACATTTCTGTTTAGCTTTTAGAACATTGCTTAAATATATAGATAACTATGCAATGTCTATTTAGTGTTTTTCTGGATAGATACCAAACATTATTCTAAATTAACCACTAAACCACTGTACTAACATACTTACATTTTGTCATCTATTCGTTTTGTTTGAACTTAGAACATTTTTGGCTAGGTGGCCATACTAGATGAATTTTATATAAATTCTATTATGGTCATTCTGCTTTTTTTGATTTTCAGTTTTGAGAAGCAAATAAAATTTTTGTTTCGTTTTGTTTCGTATGTATGTAAAAACAAAATCAGCGATTAGTGACACTAAACAGTCAAACATCTGAATAAAATCGGTTAACAATTGATATCTCGTCATTCGCTCACGTCGGCGTTTAATTGAACATTTTCGGTAACACAGACGCGCAAGAACTTTTGCAGCAAACAAGAGATATGATTCATGGCGAAAAATAGCTCTCTGCTGTCATCGGATTTGACACATGATTTTGCAAATATTTTTAAAAAATTTGGAAGTGTTGTTGTCCATCGGGCCAAGAACCTCGATGCAAACAGATAAAAAATCCATTGAGGGGGCAGAGCACCATCATATTTTTTAATCTTTTTATCCAATGCCCTGGTTGCGGCCAAACCAATTTCCTTGCTGGTTATGTGCACGTACCGTTCCCACGCCAGGCACCTACCGGCTCTCCAAGGAATCAATGTGCAGACATCCGAGCGTTTTTCATCCAGCGAGGAAATTCCCGAGGGCTTTTTAAGAACGGATATTGAAGCCTTGGAGAAAAGCCGGCAGATGTAATCATTTAATGCGGACTGACGACCGCCACCCAAACGACAGACCAGGCCGTGGTGACCGAGTTCGTTAGCCTCCGCACCGCACCTACAAAGATATTTTTGGTGGACCGTTAAACCCAGACGAAAACCAATGGCCATCCTGACCGTCTCATCATCCAATCGGGTACCCACCGATGAGTTGGGCCAAAATATCAACTAACCGCAGCTCGCGTCACGACGCGGCCAGCAGATGAGCCGAAGTTGCATCGTCGGGACTGGAGGACAACAAAAATTGAAAAGTTGTTTTGTATGCCTCTTCCAGCATCTGAGCTTGAAAACGTTTTGCTCGGTCCGGTGATGCTGGTGGGGTATCAAGATTCGTGAAAGATCGCCGGAGCAGGGTAGACTGCAGGTCGAGCGTGGCAGCGGCAGATGATTTGTAAACTATTGGTGCTAGCTGAACCACGCTTAACAACCCCAGTCCCCCAAACCGAACATGTATGTATGTATGTATGTATGTATGTATGTATGTATGTATGTATGTATGTATGTATGTATGTATGTATGTATGCATGCATGTATGTATGTATGTATGTATTATTATTATTATTATTATTATTATTATTATTATTATTATTATTATTATTATTATTATTGCAAGTCAATTTTTACAGCGCTAATTACAAAAACAATTTCAAAAGCACTCTCTAAAATAAATGAACAAACAAAACATTAATCAAACGAAGACAAAGACACTGTTAATTCTGCAAAAATAAATGAGTCTTCAGCTTCTTTTTAAACAAAAACAATGATAGATCTGGTCTTCTTAGAAACTGCAATATTGCGTGATCCGGTCTGTAAATTCGTTCTCGGCATAACCAGGAGGTTCATGTCATTTGATCTCAACTGGGAACCCAACACAGATGTTTTTCTGATGAACATGTCTGCCAAATACTGTGGTGCTAAACCATGTAATGACCGAAACGTTAAGACAGCAATTTTGAAAATTATTCTTTTTTCAATTTTTAGCCAGTGTAGGTCATTCAAGATTGAAGTCACGTGATCGAACTTCAGTTTTTTGTGACAAATTTTGCAGCTTGATTTTGAATAGACTGAAGTACAGCTATTGACTTGTCAGGTATTTTAAAGTATAAGCTGTTACAATAATCTAATCTGGATGTAATAAAAGCATGTACCAGTGTTTCCATGGCAGATCTTTTCAAATAGTGTCGAATCTTGTACAATTTTCTGAGATTTGATCTTTCATTGAGAGCCTGCTATTTAACCATACCCCCAAATTTAAGGCTGTAGAAGCAAATGATACTTCAACGTCACCAACTTCAACCGAGTTTATATTAAGTCTTAAACAACTGCTGCCATGTACCGACAGGGAGCATCTGAGTTTTATCCCGGTTCAACCTCAAGGAATTGCTCAACATCCAACGTTCAATCTCCATCAAACAAGTTTATCAATCTCGGGCTGGAATGTCTCTGGATGACCTGTAGCAACTATCTGTATGTCATCTGCATACGCATGACCAACAAGTCCATGCGACATTATTATTTTAATTATATCCGATGTAAAGAGTAAAAACAAAACTGGTCCTAGCACTGATCCCTGAGGAACACCCGTTGTTACCCTCTTGACAGCCGATAAGACTTTTCTAAACAAAACCTGCTGAGTTCTACCCGCTAGATATGATTCAAACCAGGCGAGTACCGTTCCTGAAACTCCAAAATTATTCTGCAATTTTACCAAAAGCCTGTTATGATTAACGCGGTCAAAAGCGGAAGACATGTTGAGAAAGGTGAGTAATGATATCTTCCGATCATCCATGCCTGCAAACATGTTTGACAATACATGAAGCAATGCAGTTTCAGTTGAATGCTAGCATCTGTAGGCCGATCGGTTGAGTGGCATTAAATTTTTCGTCGTTAAATAATTCATCAGGAAACCAATTTGTTAAAATTAATTGATAATTAGAACTTTTGTATGGACCAAGTGTAATTGAGTTTTTTACATGAATGGGTAGTATCTAATAAGTTCCAGAGACGACAAGAAACATGGAGAACCGAATTAATTAATAAACGTGTGCAAAAAAGTTTTGGATAATAAAAGTCAACGTTTACCTCAGAACTATGGAAAGTTGACTATTTGAATCATTAAATTGATGACGAAATGAAAAACAAAAACCTAATCTAAATAATTTATTTAAAAATATCAAAGTATTGAAAATGAGTAATTGATAAATTTTTAAAATATTGAAAGAGAACCATGAATGAAATTTAGTAAAGCCTAACAATATACAGATAGAAGAGTTTGACAAAGATTTAAAATAATAATGTTGAATTTTGCGCTTATTTTCCAAACAACAATACAGGTATGTAAAAAAACATTAAAATAGAATTATATAATGTGAGTAAAATAGTTCAAGAAATGTAGATCTTAATCGGTATATTAAGCACAAATATTTTAAAATTCTATGTGAAATGAATTGAATGTGATGTGATTATTACCATGATAAATTACTAGAGATAACATCACTTAAAAATGAGCAATACTAATTTAATTTTTTCCTTTATTATTTTAAGAAACTCTTTTTAATTTTACTTCAATCGTCTATAGGAATGTGTTTATTCACGGTTGAGGAGTGTAATTAGCCACTTTAACATTTTAAATAATAAAATGTCCCTTAAGATCTTGTTCACCAAAAAATTTTATTTTGTTTGTTTCTGTCACTAAAAAGACATGGGTGAGTGACACATTGCAAATTATCTTGTTGCAGTTTACAACAATCGCTTACTTACGGTGGCAGCCATTCATCAGATCGCTCCCAACACGCGGCTTCGCTTGAACGCTTTGCAACAAATGCGAGTGGCACTCGCTCAATTAAACAGAGATACATTATTTTTGCATCGTGTGCTTCTTATTTCTCTATTGTACCGTATGATTACTTTGATTAAGTTTTGTCATTACGTGTAATCAAAAGTTTTAAATTTCACCAAATAAATTGTTCTCTGTTCTATTAATAATTATAAGGAGCGTAGTGCAATTTTTCTTACACCGCATAGGGTGAAAATCAATATCTTCGTCTGTTAGGTAACGGTTGCCACGAGATAACTCCGAACAATTAACTTGATCGCAAATAACGATCAATTTTTGAAACTTTGGAAGATATAAATAGTGTTTGGCTGTTAAAATTAAATTATATTAAAAAATATTAGTTGTTTCAATCAATCAACCAAGGTGCCTCTTTTCGTCGGTAAAAATGAAGTTCATTTCGTTCCATTCAATATTTTTTAATTTAAATATTGTATTATTTGTTAAAATGTAAGTCTATAAAAGAATAGGGTATTTAAAAGCTTTAAAAATATTTTATCGTTTTATTTTTTATATTATTTCACAACTTAAGTTCTTCATAGTTTGTTATTTTCTGTTGAGAATTTATTTTTACTCAAAGGATAGGTTTGTACATCTCTACAATAACGAAAACGATCAAATTTTTGGAATGATCGTGTTCAGATGATTGTGTGATTGTAAAAAGTCTTTTCTATGTTATTTATGAAACAGAGATGAGTTGCAAGCCATTGATAGACACCTATAATTACTGTATACATATTTGTTCATTTGGATTTTATAAAAATTTCAACTTAAAAAAAAAATTTCATTATATGTTTTTTTTAGATTTGCTGTTTAATAACTCTTTTGTGTCACAAAAAATTCATATCTTTTGACATCCATGTTTTGTTAAAAAACATGAATGTTATATTGGATAATAAAGATTGGTGGTGAATTTTGATCCTACTTTGTTTGGTCACATTTTTTCTAGAAAAACGTCAACAACTGTTCTCAAACATGCAAACAACATTTGCATTGTTCAGTTATTTTCATTGTAATGACACTCTACAGTAATTAAATATCTTCTTTGTTGTGTTTAACATTACTTAAATGAAATGAGATTCATTGGATTAGTTGGAAATCCCTGTCACCAATGAAACGCAACCTGTTGAATTGAAACATTGACGTAAGAAAAATTCCCATCCATGTTTCTCAGTTTTCTGTCTAACTTTTTGAAGCGTCTACAGAATTAGCTTTAAAATTTGTGTTCAGGTTAACTTAAGAATTTTTAAAAACGTTTTTAGAGTGAAAAGCGTAAACACCATAAAAATATTATTAAGAATGAGAAAAATAATATTAATAATAACATCATCATCTACGTTATGCATAAGTTTACTGTTCATTGATATTAATCCTATCCTCATCATGATCATCATCATCATATTTTAATTTAAGATCATCATCAGCAATATCACATCATCAACAAAATCTCTCGACACCAAATGATCACATCACTTCGATCGATCATACATTTAATAGCTGATCTCAAATACGTATTAATCATTTCTCTTCTTACAACCCACTGCTTATATTTTTCTGTTGAAAATAAATTTTCATATCTAGCAAGGTATATATTTATATTTATATACAGTAATTTATGAAATCTACAGAATTTCTAGCGTTGGATAGATTTTTAATACATTTCTCAATATTTCGGACAAAATTCTTGTCATTATTTATTTTATTAACGTTAGTAGAATAGTATACAGTTTTCCAATTCATTTTTGAGTGTAGAGGACCTATTTTGATTTTTCAATCATCTTCAGCACATGTTGAAGTTTATATAGAGAATTTGTATAACCCAGTACTTGTAGCAGTTTATATAAGGAATTTGTAAAACCCAGGCCTATATAGGTTATATAAATATATATATGTATATACATATAACCTATATATATATATATAATAAATAATGAATATTTCAAAGTTTTACAATTTTCTTCGTGAACAAAGTGTTCTTATTCTGGTTTGTCCCGTCCGTTAATAATATCTTTTTTTGGTTCAATCTCTTGAGTTAGGGAAAAAATTTTTAAGCGAAAAATTTATTGGGCAAATGTTCCATATCTCAGCGAAAACTTTTTTGCACGAATCTTCATCGTTCGGGCGAACCATCGTTCGGGCGAATATATACTGTATTTAGAACCGAGGTTTACTTTTATGCAAATATCATTGAAGGTAATTGCCCATTTTGCATTTGGTTAGCCTCACCATGCCCACTGTTTTAAATAAATACAAATTTAATAAATTCAGATGTGTTGAGTGTTTAATAAAGAAAGCCATTGATACAAAATGGGCAATTATCTTCAATGATGTTTGCATATATATATATACGTATATTTTTAGAAACTTTTTTAAACGTATTAAATAAAGCCAAAAAAGCTGAACTTCTTCAATTTAAATTCCTGAAATTTTAAACAATTGTGACAAAAAAGATTTTATTTGCGGTTAAACACGTATTTAATAAGGATCGGAAGAGATCTTTCCAACATTTGTTAGCTTATATAGTGAACAAATGTGTAATTGGATAGACATTTTTACAATTCAACAAAAAAATTTGGAAAGCGTAAAAGTCGCCATTTTTAGGCGCTTGATAGCCGCAAGAATTTTTTTAATAATATTTGGAGAAATGTACCACATCTGACTGTCAAAATAAACAAAGCCAGAATGTGGAAAACGTAAAATGAGTTCAAGCTGTAGTTAGTTCTTGTAAAAAAATATTACAGGTCCACAAATCTTAAACTTCAAATGCTGTACCAGTTAATAATTCGTAAAAAAAATAAAAGCAACAGATAGTGATTCGGAGACTGAAAAATTCATTTTGGTTGGGTTATGTATAAAAAATTGGTCATCAACGTATATTAAATTTGAAACAAAATTGTTGTCGGCTCGTGCGCCAGACCGAAAAATCATTGCTCTGGGGTAACAGCCTTTCCGCGGCGGAGTCAATCGAAGCAACGAGATGATTTCCGAATGAGGATTCAACAAATTTACTCAATGCAATTCCACTGTAATGGCATTCGAAACAAAAAAAATGAGCTAGATCATCCTCTCAACCAACAACATCTTTTGACATTTGTAGCGTTTTAACTGTGACTAAAATTAAGATTTTGTTGTAATTTTTAAAAGCGCTTTTGATATTATATTAAATATATATATATAAACTTGATTAAGTATTTTGCCCATTTTGCGTTGATTAGTTTTTAACCAATAGATTCAACATTTCGTATTTGGGTTAAATCATATTTATTAAACAGTTGTGTCATA